GAGGACAGCTGCAAATTCAGGGCCAAGCATCTGAGCGTGGCTGCTGCCAACCCCTGAGACCCTCCAGCCTGGCTACATAGTTAGTTCAAGGCCAGCCTGAATTGCAGTGAGACCCTATCTCAAAAAATCCAAATAAATATAATCCCCCTTGTACTGTTAACTTAAATGTAAATATAAAAGTATAAACTTTTAGAATGAAACAGGAGAACATTTGCAAGATCTAGGGCCAGAGTCTTAGACTTCATTTTTCTTTCTTTCTTTTTTTTTTGGTGGCAGGGCCTCCCTATGTACTTCAGACTGGCCTTCAACTTACTATGTGGCCAGGGCTGGCCTCAAACTCCCAGTAATCCTCCTGCCTCAGCCTTCCAAGTGCTAAGATTACAGGTGTGCACGACCAGGCCCAACTCTCTTTCTCTCTTTGTGTTATTTCTTATAATTGCATGTAGAACTTAAAATCATCTCAAAATAATATTAAAAGAATGTGTGAGGCATTTTAAGATACAAATCCCAGTGAACAAGGTATGTTCTGTCTTCAGGTAGCTCAGTCAGACTAATGAGGAGCTGGGCATTGCTGGCTGGCTGGATATATGGATGGGTGGGTGGATGTGTGGATTTTCATGGTTGCGGATGGAACCCAGGACCTCAGGCATCCTAGGCAAGCTCTACCACTGAGCTGCACGCCCAGGCCTTGCATTGCTTAAGGTACACACCGTTTGAGCTGGGAGTGGTGGCTTATGCTTGTAATATACCAACAGTGAAGAGTCTGAGGCAGGAGGATCACAGCAAATTTGAGACCACCCTGGGTTACCTAGTGAGTTAAAAAACCAGCCTGGAGCCAGGCATCGTGGTGCAGGAGGATCTCCACGGTGGGAGGCTAGCCTGAACTACACAGTGAAACCTTGTCTCAAAAAAAAGGAAGGAGTCAAGAACACAGAAAGAATTAAGGGCTGAGTCCGGCATGGCTTACAGGAAGTTCGAGGCCAGCCTGAACTACCTGGCCAGCTCCTGAAATGAAGTCAATTAATCAATCAAGAAACAAGGAAACCTCTCAGGCTGGCCCCTCAGGCAGTGGCATTCTATATAAACGGAGAGGGACTTAGGGATCTAAACTGCAGACGACGAAGGCGTGGAGGTGGGAGTCGGAGCTGGGTCAGAGGCTCCTGGGTGCGAACCGGCCCACCTGACGGGGCTGCGGAGCAGCGCGGAGCGGAGCCCAGACCTGGCTGCAGACTCGATCCGCCGCAAGGCCCGGCGCCGGCCGCGGGGACCATTTCTCGGGTTGGCTCGTGTGCAGATGTCAAAAGCGGGCGTCCTCCCTCGCCAGCCCTGGGTCTCATCCGCAGCACCATGAAACGAAAGATTAAGAAAGAATAAGAAAAAGCGCCCTGCAATGAGTGGTATCATTACGTATGTCTACGATGTATCAATAAATGTTTTGCTACTAAAAAGTGTCCTGAAGTGTGCATACTTTACACCTAGGGTCCCGTGCCCGCCTTTTGAGGAAAGGCCCCACTAAATTGCCCAGGATCGCCTCAAACTTGGGATCCTCCTCCTGCTCCAGTCTCCCGAGCAGCTGGGGTTACAAGGGCTCACCACTGTGTCCTGCTAATTCCTCTTTAAAGCTGAGTAATATTCCATTGTGTGTATCTGCCAACTGTTACTCCATCCACTGGGGGAATTTGTGTTGCCCCTACGTTAAGCTGCGAAATGCTAATGTTGAGCATGGGCATAAACGATTGTCTGCTCCCGGTTCCTTTGGATGCACACCCAGAACTGAACTGTGGGGTGCAGTGGTCACTGGTTTAGGGTTTTCAGGGTGTGGCATAGTTACAAAGGTCTTTGCTGGCCTTCTCCAGATCCTGCAGCTGGGCTGAGCCTGCTCTATTTCATGCAGTGTCGCACTATGATCCCTGATGTGGGGCAGAATCACTCAGGAGTGATGTATACTCCACCGCCCAGACACAGGCAGCCCAGGATCCATCCAAATTTGAAATTTTATCTTTTAATTTTTTGGTACTGGGGATCGAACTCAGTACCTTGCACTTTCCAAGCAGGTGGCAGAATCACTGAGCTAAATCCCTGAAGTTTTGAGACTTCAATCCAGAGATACAGAAGCATAAGGGCCATCAGGCAACAAGATCTAAAGTTTTCAATATGAATTGAAAGATTTTCTTGAGACAGGATCTCATTGGGAAGCTCAGGCTAGGTTTGAGCTCACACTGTAGCCCAGCCTGGCTTTGAATTTGCAATCTTCCTGTCCTAGCCTCCTGAGTGCTGGAGTTGTAGGTGTGCACCACCACGTCTGGCTAAAACAAATGTGTGTGGTGAGGAGTGGCCTAGGGCCTTCACACTGAGCTGTATCACCCAGACACACACACACACGCTTTAAATTTATTTATTGGTTTTTTGAGACAGGGTCTAACTATGTAATTCAGGTTGACCTTGAACTTGAAGAAATCCTCTCACCTCAGCCTCCCTAGTGCTGGGATTACAGGCATGGGTCACTACGCCCAGCAAGTCCATTTTTGAATGGTCATAAAAATGGTTTTAAATTTTTTGTCACTCACTTGTGCAGCTTTCCTGTAAATAATTATAAAGACTCTGAAGACTATAGTTTTAAGTTTTTTGTCACTCATTTGTACAATTTTCCTGTAAATGATTATGAAAACTCTGAAGACTATCACTAGCTTAGATCAGCAACTGTATGCTGGTGTTAGCCTGATTAAAAAAGCCATGTTTCCAGAAGTTAATACTTTTTTGGGGAGACAGGTCATACAAACTTAAAAATTTCTGTAAATTCTGTAATTTTTTTAGGGAGGGTGATACTGGGTACTGAGTCCAGGTCCGTTACCAAGTCTATCCCCAGCTGAGCCTCAGAATTTAAAAATGGTTGCTAGTAGGGAGAGATGGCTTCATTATAGGACTTATTGAGGAGGTTCGCATATTTACTTTTTTTTTGGTACCGGGGATGGAATGCGGGCCCTTGTGCTTGCAAGGCAGGCAGCAGAACCACTAAGCCAAATCCCCGGCCCAGTTCACATATTTACATTTTGCAAATTGACCTCACTTCCTCACAAAAGTCATCCCTGAAACATTTGTGGCAACACAACGTTATGGTCTATAGTCCTGAGGGCTCCTGGGGCTGTCTGGAGACCTCTGGGTCAGTTTTGTGGAGAATGAATCTTTCAAGGGTGGATCAATTCCATCTGTTTTTCTATGACTTATCAGATCACGTCAAGTTCACTGTCGTGATTTTGTGACACCAGTTAACGAACACTTTGTAAAATATTTTGCAAAGCAAAAGGTTCTCACATTTAAAGCTATGAACTCTAGATTCTAATACAACACACACACACACACACACACACACACACACCATTTCTATATTGTTTTATAGTATATTTTTATTTTATGGTATATTTTTAAAAAACAGAAAGTAACAAATGCTTTTTCCTTGTTGAGGAGTGACATCTATTTTCCATGAACAGGGCCTTAAAAAGTAACAGCATTTTGTCCAGATTGAACTTAGAGAATTGCACGTAAGTCACAGAGAGCTTCAAGTGATGCTAACGAAGGGCAGCTTCCCCAGATCCCTGTGGGACACACCCAAGAGGCTTGAGTCCAAGGGGACCCCTGACCTGAAGAGTCCTGAGGCTTCTCAGGGATGAGGAGGAGACAGGTAGCGAGAGCCTGAGCTAGGGCTGTGCTCAGGGATTCTGCAGCAGCACCGAGTATGATGACATTGCTGCCTTCTTGTTACTCCAGGAACACCAGGAATCGTTTGCTTAAAGAATATTCACCCATGGGCTAGGGATGTAGCTCAGTGGTGCTACGCCTGCCTGGCAAGCTCAAAGTTCTAAATTCTATCTCTGGTTCTGGTTCCAGAATATTTATCCAGGCTGAAAACCTCTTTATCCTCTTGTTCTGGGCTATGGATCCTACCTCAGGAAATCAAAGTGAACATTAACCACGTTGTAACAGTGCTTCCATGCAGGGTCCTTCCTGGGCCCTTGGTGTCCATCTCATGCACTCAGATCACACTGGTATCTACCGTGCGCTAGCTGAGTGGGGCAGGAGGGCTGCAGCACACATCCAGCTGTCTTATTAGCAGCAGTCACCACAAACACTGGTACAAGGTGCCCAGGGGTCATGGGTGGCCTGGGGCAGCCCGGCTAAGCATCACTTGTGACCACTGTGGGCATGGGAGAGGGAGCAGCACCGTGCATCACACTACAGTTTCTGTAGCAAAGGCAAGGAAGGTGTTCAGCACAGATGTCTGGAAAATAGAACAACACTGATTTTCTCTGCTTTGAGGAGATACATTGTCTCTATCTGGAAATTTGTTTTATGGATCTTAATTTCAAGACAGAATGACTATGACAAGGCTTTTCCCTTCAGGACCTTACAAAAATAAATGAGGGGGCCAGGTGTGGTGGCACATGGCTGTAATCCCAGCACACGGGAGGCTGAGGCAAGAGGATCACTGTGAGTTGGAGACCAGCATGGGCTACATAGTGAGCTCCAGGACAGTCTGAACTGCATAGTGAGATCCTGTCTCAAAAACAAACAAACAAACAAACAAACAAAACGAGGGGCCTGGGATGCAGTTCCATGGCAGAGCATTTGCCTGGGTGTGACACCCACTAGGGAGAGCCAGGGAGAGAGACCCACATATATTCTGAAAGAAGATGCACATAAAATATATACATTTTGCAGGGGGCGTGTGGGACAGTCTCACTGTGTACTTCAGGATGGCCTTGAACTCACCACAATCCTCCTGCCTCAGGCCTCTTGAGTGCTGGGATTACAGGCGTATGTCACCACACCCAGGCTACTCTCTGGCTTTTAACAGGGTCATTGCCTTTGGCGGTGCAGTAGCTTCTAGGGTGAGCTCTGAGGGCTGATAAATTAAGAACCTATGAAAGAGGGCCGGGGATTTAGCTCAGTGGTGCAAAAAAAGAACCTATGGAAGAGCTAGAGGCCATGTCACCCACTGTTGTCCCAGCTACCTGGGAGGCTCAAGTAGGAGGATCACTCGAGCGTACGAGTTTGAGAACACCCTGGGCAACATGTTGAGACCTCCATCTCCAAAGAAAAAACCTGAACCTATGAAGCAAGTGTGTTTGCCTGGGAAAGGAATCATCTTTAAACTGAAGAGAATAAGACAGCTAGAGATCTGGATCTCAGGTGGACACATACGTACTTCGCTTTCTCTTCTATTTTCTTCCTTATGAAGAAGTTAAATACTTCAAGCCCCGGCAACCAAGTGGCATGAAAGGCTCAAAACTATTTTGTTCAAGACTTGTTGCTGGAATCAGGTCTGCGGCTGAAGGGAGACCCCAAGGGCTCCTGAGGCTCTGGAAGAGGAAGGCAGGAGCTAGGAAAGGTAGGTATGGCCCCTCTCAAATCACTGACAAGTAGCCCTCTGCACAGGCAGACCTGGTGACTAGCTCAGAATTCAGGCAGCATGCAAATATCTAAATGTTATCAGGTGGACCTCAATGAAAATGTAAGAGGGGAAGGGAACAAAGAGGAAAGAGAGTTTTCTGTATGTTTAACTGTATTCACTGGAATGCATGGACATATATAGCAAGACCTTAAATTATGTTTAACAATTTAAACTATAAGGGCTGGGGATTTAGCTCAGTGGCACCACACCTGCCTCGCAACCACAAGGTCCTGAGTTCAAGCCCTGGTCTGCAAAACAAACAAACAAACAAACAAAACTATAGAATTAATGTTACTAAAGCTGTAGTAACAAACCATTCCAAAATCCATTTTTCCAGATTTCCATCTACTTAGAAAAGCCCGTACACACGATTTTGCACATCCACACATCCCTGGCCTTGCAAGCGAAGAGACAGAGACCCATGGAGAGGCTCAGGATATGCTCACGTCGCCAGGACCCTGTCCTGATCCCAAGAAGCGTGTGGGCCGAAGTGGGGTCAGGGTGCCCTGTTGCAGATCTGCTCGATGTCCTTCAGATCTCTGGGACACTCTGCAGAGAGGATGAGAGTCGAGTGCTGTGTCACTACTACGTCGTCCTCAATTCGCACCCCGAGACCCCGAAACTTCTCTGGAGCGTCGCTGTCATCTTCCGGGACATAAATGCCTGAGAAGTAGAGAGAAGAGCGCAGTGTTCCACAGGGACAGTGACTGCAGCTGTGGGGCCAGCTGGCCTGACCTGAACGGTCAGTAACGTTGGCTGTCACTGCTAGAATTATTCTTACAGTTAAAGTTTTGAGTACTAGGCTGTAGGTTCCATATGACTATGATAATGTTGATTGTGATCCTCTCACTTCTCATGGCTCAAGGAGGCCACTAAAGTTACTTAATTTATGAATATGTCTAGATTTATGAGTATGCCTACATATGCTAGGCCAGCAGATTATGTAAGTGTATCTGTCCTCTGCCCTAATGGTCCCCTGGAGAAAGATAATTTGTAAGAATAAAGATAAAATGGCCAGGCATGGTGCCCCATGCCTGTGATTCCAGCACTTGGAAGGGTGAGACAGAAGGGTGGCCAGGAGTTTAAGGCCAGCCTGGGTTACACAGTGAATTCACGGTTAACATGAACGACATGGCAAGACCTTCTCTCAAACAACCACAAGTAATAACAACAAACGCTAAACTAAAGATAAACTGTATTTAAACACTTAAGATATTATTAACCTTAACAAACAGAAGCTCCGGAAATAGTCATTATAAAGGATTTTTTTCCCTCAAATAAGCTAAAACTTCAAGATGTACGTGATATGAGAAAAACAGAAAGACATTAACCTTTAATGTACATTTGGAAAAACCTAGGTGCCTCAGCTACTCTGCTCCTGAAGTCAGTGAGACTCTGGTCTTTTCACCATGAGGAAATTGCACACTTTTTCCACCCCCTTCACAGATACTCCTCGGTGACAGAAAAGAGCAGTAACTGAAAGCATAAGCACAATCTGAGGGGGCGTCCGAGGGGTGGACTGAACTAGCTGGACTGAACGACATCTAAAGCCACAGAGGGCAAAAAATGATTGGGTTCGGATCTACTTCCCAGATATAACTGACCTAAATGAGAGATGAAAACATTTGCAACATGATGGAAACAGCACCAGTGTTGAAGACATCGGAGTGTGAGAGAAGGGCGTGGGCGGTAAGGAGCGGGTCATGCTGTGCCACCCAGTGCAGAGACAGGGGCTGCGATGGCGGATGGGGGATAGAGTCTGTGTGTCTCTGCCTGCACCTGCCAGGCCGTGGCAGCCTCAGCCTCAGCCACTACTGCTCATGGCCTGGCAAAGGCAGGATTCAAGATTTATTTCTTAATATCTACTTATAGAAAGTATTCACCATCTGTTGTTTATTGGAGAAGTCAAATTAAACAAATTGTGTGATGTTAAATAAGGAAGCTAAAGATAAATCTTTAGTCACCTTCTATACTGGTGGTGTCTCTTCTAGTTTAATTATGTTGGTTGCTTCAGGTTAAAATACACAGTGTGAACCTCACAATATCATGTGTCCCGAAAGTCGGAGCTGCGAACCATCTCCTCACCTGGCTCAATGGTGATCACCATTCCAGGCTGCAGTGGAAGGGAGCGAGACATGTCTGGGGTGTCGTGGACATCCATCCCAAGATAATGGCCCACGTGGTGAGGGCAGTATTTCCTAGCAGCCTGGAAAAGATGTTATGGGTTAGATGGAAAATGCCCCCGAAAGTCTCGTGTGTTCAGAGGTGAGGCTTTTGGAAGGTGACTGGATCACCTGTGATTCACCCACTGATGCGCTCCTGGTTGAATGTGCTGTTGGAAGGTAGGGTCTGGCTGAGGAGGTAGGTTACTAGAAGCATAACATGGAGGGTGCATTCTTATTCCTGGCTCCTCCCTTCTCCCTCAGCTTCCTGAGGGTCATGTGATGAGGAACTTTCTTCCACTACACTGTTTCTGCCTGGGAGCCAGCAACCATGGACTGAACCCGTTAAAACTGTGAGCCAAATAAACCTCTTCTCCTTTTAAGGCGTGAGTATCTGTGTTTGACAGTATAATTCTAATTGTCAGGAACTGTTTTTTCTGGTACTGGGGATCGAACTCGGGTCCTTGCATTTGTGAAGCAGGCACCGGAACCGCTGAGCTAAATCCCTAGTCCTAAAGTGTGAGCATCTGGTATTTTGACCTAGCAATAGGAAAGATACAGATACAGATAATCGCCACAGTATTAGAGCAATGACCTAAGGGAAAGTGACATATATAAATCAGTGTGATATGTATTAACACACCTTGATGGTTCTGCCACTTAAATTTATTTTGTCCTTGGGCTATTTCTTCTTCTTCTTCTTCTTCTTTTTTTTTTTTTTTTTTTTTTTTTTT